AGATTATGTAACTACCACAAAGACTGCTTTGGCTCTGGGGAGTTCCTTGCGATTCAGACTGAATTTGAGAATTGGCCTTCCCATTGTTGCAAAACACTGTTGGCATTTTGACAGTGATTGCATTGAATCTATAGATCACTTCAGGTAGTGTTATTTAGTTTGTCTCTTTGACTCTGGTTTCTGAAAATAAACTGAGCAATTGTGGCAGGCTTTGTCTTTCAGAAATAGCCAGGAAAGTAGGGTCTATACACAAAACAAAAGACAAACTCACTACCGAGTGTAGTCCAACTCAGAGACCCTATAGGACAGAACAGAACTTAGCCCCTTTAGGTTGCTGAGGTTGTACATCTTTGAGGGAGCAGAAAGCCTCATCTTTCTCCCACAGGGCTACTGGTGGTTTCAAACTGCTGACCTGTGGTTGGCAGGCCAGTTTGTAGCCCGGCAGGGCTCTTTCACTGACCCCACACCTGGTGCATATTCATTGACTGGATCAGTCATAGCTGTGTATTTACTGAGGGATGACTTTGGGGCACTCTGGACCCTCCATGTGCAGTGAGAACATCCATGCCCAACACTGAGAGGCAGGTCCCGGGGGACAATGGGGGCCTCTAGACGAGAATACTTGCAGACCTTGTCGGGTACATCTATACATTTATATCTTCTGGGTTACACTGAATGGGTAACTGTAAGCGTAGGTAACAGTCCCCATAAATTATATGATCTTTATAGTAGACTCATGAACTCACCGGAGCAATGAGCCAGCAGAGGCTGACAGTACAGCTCTAGGTGGTTGGGTAATAGAGAAAGACTGCACTGGTATTCCTGCTGGTTGTAACCTAGTCCCAGAATAACAGAGACGGGGTTGGAGGCAAACAGCTGGTTTCAAGTGCAGACTCCTGAGCAGTGTCGAATTACCCCAAAAGCTAGGTACACGAGTTTACCTGTGTTCATTTACTAATCTATAGTGAACCAAAACAACCACCGCCACCAAATTCACTACCATCGAGTCACTCCAACTGAGCGCTCCCTTTCTAAGATTTCCAAGGCTGTCCATCCTTACAGGAGCAGACAGCCTCATCTTTCTCTCAGGGGGTAGCTGTTGGGTTTGAACTGCTGACTTAGAAGTTAGCAATTTAACTGTTTACTTAACACGGAATCTTAGCATTATGTCATCTAGTTCATAAGCATGAGGAGTCTTTCATTTTCTATCAAAACCACCAGCCAAACTCACAGCCCTCGAGTCCACTCCAACCCATAGCAGCCCGACAGGATACTGAAGAACTTCTGTGGGGGTTGGAGACTGTAAATCCACTGGAGAGCCTCATTTTTCTCCCACTTAGCAGCTAGTGATTTTAAACAGCTGACCTTGTGGTTAACAGCACAACACATGACCCGCTACGCCACCAGGCCTCCTCTTTCCATTTATTTGGACTTCCTTAATTCCCTTCAGCACATGCTTTGTAGTTTTCAGTGCAGTCTTTTACTTCTCTGGTTAAATTTACTCGTAGGTATTTTACACAGGCTACTGTGAAGGGAGTTACTGTATTAGTTTTTGTTTTGTTTTGTTTCCAGAATGTTCATTGTTCACCTTGAATTCTGCCACTCTTGGAGCTTTCTTAGGGATTTCTATATGTATATGTCGTCTGTGGCACCGGACTTCCTCCATCTTCGAATGGCTTGACTTCTTCCTTTCTGATTAGGGTACACAACTTGTTTCTTTTTCTGGTCTAATTGTTCAGGCTGGAACTCCAAGTATAATAGTGAATACCAATCATTCTTGTTTCTGATCTTAGGAGGAAAAGCTTAGTCCTTTTCCATTGAGTATGATAGCAGTGGATCCTTCATAAATGCCCTGATCACACTGAGCAATTTTTCTTCTGATCCTATGGTTTGTTTTGAATCGTGAAAGGCTACTGGATATTGTCAAATGCTCTTCAGCATCAATTGAGATGGTCCTATGGTTCTTTTCCTTCATCTTGTTAGTGAGATCTACTACTTTGCTTTTCTAATGTTGAACTACCTCTGCATTCCTGGAAAGAGCCCACTTGGTCATGGTGTATATAAGCCTTTTAATTCTCCAGCAAGGTCACCATTAACATCAGGGTCTACAAGTTCGACTCAAGGATGATAGTTTATACTGCTTTGTTTGTATTTGTTGTCGTCTTTCAGTTAGAGAGTATTTGGGATTTTGAGTTCATCTAAACCAATTATGGACATTTAATTCCACTTGTAAATGATTGGTTAGGAAGGAGATGCGGGACCTATAAAAACACAGGAAGAAACACTCTTCTTCTGCTGTCATAGTTTATCTGGGACACCTGGAAGCACACAGCTTCCATGCCACCATGAAGAAACTAGCCTAGAGAAGGCAGGCCAGGAAGATGGGAAGAACCTGGGCCGTCAGTGGTATTGCTAGATGCGTGAGTTAACCTACCATGGACTTCTCTGGGTGATAATCCGTTCACTGTTTAATCCCGTTGAGGCATGTTCTGTAATTTACATACGAGAGCAGCCTAATGTACAAGACTCAAGGGTTTCTGTTTTTCCTGTTTATTTTCATTCCTGTATTCTCTTGATCATGTAGTTATGCTTCTTGAGCATGTCTAGCCCCCCTCAGCTTCCTTGAAAAGCAAGGGAGACACTTGTCAGTGTTACACATGAAGACAAACCAATTGTTGGGCTTATGAAGGCAGAAAGTCCCTTTTAGGTATCATTCTATACCCAATCCCAGCCCAGTGCTTATTCAATGTAAGTTGAATACATAAATGAGTTTTCCAAAATGCTTTTTAATCACAATGGACTAGTAGCCGCAGGAACCACACTGAGGGCATCAGAAGGTTCTGTTGATTCCTCCTTTCCAGATTTTACCGTGTGACTGACTCACTGCCATCCAGTGAGATGCCAGCTCATCGTGAGCCTGTAGGACAGGGTAGAACCGTCCCTGTGGGTTTCTGAGACTGCAACTCTTTACGGGAATAGCAAGTCCCATCTATCTCCTGTGAAGGGGGTGGTTTTGAAATTCAGGTCTTGCTGTTAGCCTTCCAACATGTAACCACCGTGCTTCTCAGATTTTACACAGGTAGGGAAGTAAAGAGCAGAGGCGATGACCTTTCAAACATCAGTCACATTCCCCCCCTCCCCCTTCTTTCTCAGTTTTGTTAATTAGCCTGTGCGTTCCGCCAGGATGTCTTCCTATTGAAGCAGACCAGTGAGACCAGAATTGTGAGGGCAGGGAGCTGTGAATCCAACCAGCGAGAGGTGTTGGGAGGAGTGATTTATAGAGCAGCTAAGGGATGAAGTGCTTCCTGGCCCTGCGGGCCCTTTTCGGGTCATTAGTCCCTTTCTTGAGGACAGGGCCATTAGGAAAAAACAATGGAGACAAGATCTGAACAACAAAAATCCTGCAGGAATGATCACTAGGCAAACTCAAGAATGACTAAGAGCCCACTCAACTTTCTGGGGGCAATCTTACCAGCTTTGTCTTGAAGAACAAGTACCTCTCCTCAACTCCTACCAACATGGTATCCAGCCCGAGCCTCTTCCACAGGCTCCAGACTTAAGTGAAAAGGCTGCTGGCCCCAGACAGCAAGTACTTAACGAAGCGGTGAAGACGCCTCTGGAATGCCCCTCAGAAGAGCAGGTCTGAGGGCCAATGGAAAACAGGCTGGTCCTAAGACTGCCAGACCTTACTTAGCTTATTTTGGTGCCAAGGGACGCAAGACACAGACTCATGGGGATTTCCCTAACTTCAAGCTAACCTCCTTTCCTAACTGGTCATGTTTATTGATATTGCCCTGCGGTGTCCTGGTAGTAAAATATGTCATTATACCTAGAGGATGATTCGGGCAAGATGGTGATCACCTCCCAACTGGAATGGAGACTGCCTGGAAAGCAGGCAATTGTGCCTGTACCTCGATACTCAAACATTTAGGCAGTTCTGCCTTGAAGGATGTTTTTACTGGGTGGATGAAAGAAAGCCTTTAGACATTCGTCGGATTGGCCTAGCCCACACCCATTTCTTAGGAGTGATTCCAAAGCCATCACTCTTTCACTGGTTGATCTCAGCTTCCAGGTTCCCACGAAGTTGTACAAGGTGTACACTGCATTACTCTACGAAGAGGTCCTGACTCCTCATTCTGCCCAGAGGCAGCCTTACCTTCTGAAGAATGTGGAAAATCAGAGACAAAGACAGGTAAGCAGTGGTGACTGGAATCCTGAGGTTCTACAACGGTGGGCTGAGACAAGGCCCAAAAATAAGCTCCATGGCAAAAAAAAAAAAAGTGCATAGGCAACTCAGGGTTGACAGGTGCAGGGGAGCGCTCAAGAGTGCAACTCGAATGGTGGGCAACTGGGCAGGCTTTTTTAAAGGTGGTGGTTGTTGGCAGGGGGGGCATGTTAAGAAGAACTAGTTCACAGTGAGATAAGGAAATGCATACATGAATGTATAGAAAAAAAGAAAGTCTGAGCTAGAGGAGGAGAGACTGAGGGAGGGAGCCCAGAAACTCAGGAGTAGGGGACCAGGGCAGATGAGACCCAAGTTCTGATCCCAAGTCAGTCAAACAGAGGGCTAGCTGTCTGGTGACTTCCTGGATCACACAATATATAGCAATACTACCTACAATGAAGTTCCAGATTTCTGACGCTTATGGCCAAACAATTTTGGACCAAAATAGCTATTCCATAATCAATCTGCTACTAACTGTAGCTGCAGGGGAAAGGTGAGGTTCTCAGAAGAGAGACACTATAATTTATTTGTAACATCTTAACTGCTGTCCAAAGAAAAATTGGATTTTTTTCCAGTAGCTATAGCGTGCGCTTGGATCCTTCCCTTGGGTCAGAAAGTGTTTCAAAAGCTGTGCATGAATTTATCTAGTCATTCCAATGACTACGAAGCAGAATCTACTTCTTCACCCCCAGATTACACATAAGGAAAATAAAACAGAAAGAGGTTAAGTAGCTTCCCCCAGATAACACAGCAAGTAGTGGATACAACTAGAATCTGAGTATGAAACAATACAGTATATATTTACATTATAACTGTCTGATATTTGAAAAGGAAAAAGCAGACCAGGTTTTTGCATTTAAAACTCAGTTAACTTTTTTGGTCAAATGATTGTTATGTAAAAGGTACTGATTAAGTTGGTTACAAATATAAAGTCCGCTTAAATATAACTATGCAAAATAAATCCTCCTTTCTGTGGTCCACAAATAACAGTGACCCCACCCCCAAAAAAGTACCTTCAAATTAGGTTTTTCACTTTCCAAAATAGCTCCTTTATAACAGAAGGAAAAACAATTCCACAATGCAATTTTTAATGTATTCACTATTTCTAAACTCCCTGGAATATTTAAAGATTACTTGCTACAAGTTGGACTCATTTGAAAATAAACCTTGACTTCACAGCGAACTCTACATTGCTAACTACGTAGCCGTTCACGCACGGTGGTGAGTTGCCATGGGTTCTGCGTCTCTTGATTTTCTGAGCAGGGCTTCTTTGAGGGCACTAATTTTCTCATCAAGTTCAGCCAGTGAATAGTTCTGCTGTAAACAATAAGAACACAAACTGCTGAATAAGGCTCTGAAGTGTCTTAATGCAGATAAAGTGCTAAATGAACTATAAATATTTAAAGTGTCTACTAGCATGTTTTTTTTCCCCTCAGAGTAATTTTTAATTTAAACAACTATATCTGATGACATCCTGAAAATAAATGAATAAAAGCACAAGAACTTAACTTACTTGAGGTGGTTGAACTTTTCTTCTTTTTCCGGAAAAGTTCTAGATTAAAGGTAAAAACAATGGTAAATAATCAATGCTTAGAATATTTGAACCATCGATTTTTCTATTTTAAAGTATTGCACAAAATATAGAGAACTTTGAGAATGTTTGCAGAATCAGAGCCCGCCAACTTAGCAAGTGCTGCAATCAGTTATCTACCTGCTTGCGTTCTGATAGACTTTAAAGATGGCATTGTAAAGTACAGAGCAGTCACGTGCCATTGCTAGTGATATATATGTGTCAGGTCATCATTAGCTTCCAATGAGGCTGAAGGAGCCCTGGTGGCACAGCAGGTTAAGCATGGGGCAGCAGCTAACTGCGTGCAAAGTTGGCAGTTCAAACCCACCAGCCTCGCGGCAGTAGAAAGGTCAGGCTGTCTGCCATCATACAGAGCAGTTCTATTCTGTCCCGCAGGGTCATGATGAGTAGAGATGGCCTTGATGGCATTGGGTTGGGTTTGAGTAATGGGGCTGACTGATTATGGGCAGCGCTCTGGGGACTTATGTTTCCTTCTTGTTTGTAGCCCTTCCATCCTAGTCTAATGGATAAGTCAAGTGGCAGTGGAGGAGAGAGAATTTTGCAGACAAGGCCACAGGGCAAAAGCATACACTCCTCAATGCCAAGGATACTGTGGCTGCAAGCAGCTCACCCAGGCAAGTGCTGATCCTGCTCCCATCAGTGACTACAATGGTCACGAGATACTTCTGGAAAGTATCTTCATTCCCGAAAAAGACCTCAAATAAGATAGCTTCCCTCCCCTGGAAACAGCTAAATGAAAACAGGAAACCTGAGCATGCTAGCTGTCTGCCTGGAGAAGCCAACACCAAACAGACCTGAGTAGGCAAAGAATCCAAAGCTTTACAATCATGAATTTGGCCTCCAATAATCTCAGCCCATACATTTAACTATCACTTCGACAGACTTTCATTTGTCTGCATATTCTGCTATGCCTACAATTCACATTCCCTTCAAAATGCACACCCCTCCAGATGGCATCCGATAGTATCATTTTTTCCAAACAGAAACTGGACCCATCTTTGCTTTATCTCTCTGTGTCTAACCAATCATCAGTATTTTTCATGGTTCATTAGTATTAATCGTTTCTATTCCCTCTCAGGATCCTAGTTCAGGATCTCACTTCACATCCACACTAGTATAATATTGTCCCCTATCTCCCCACGAGGATTAGATAAATCTTTGTAAGCACAGCTTTCTATAGCTTCCCCCTGCCTGGAGAAAAGTCAACCTTTTCTTAAAACTTCCTGGCATAGCCTTTAAGGTCTTCTAGCATCTAATAACTACTACTACTTCTTTAACTAAACACTCGAGCCTATGTAGAAAATTCCTGTTAACTAAGTATAATACTAGTTTCATGTTAAGGGCCTATAAATCCAAGTCAGAAGAGATTTAAGAGGTATGAACTGAACTAGAAAAACAAGTTTTCCTAGGAGTTACTTAATGAAAAGAACTTGAATGTGAAAAATGGCGGATTATTTTAAGAAAAGCCATAAAATTTCAACAAAATTTCCTAAGATACATTTAAAGATTAATTAAATCCTAAACAGAGACATTTGTAATTATATAATGTAGCGAACACATTTTTCTAAAATTAGATAGTTGAAGACCACATTTACATAGCTACTTCAGATGACTTTGGAAACTAAATACACGAAAAGAGCTAACAGTGCACTCTGGGTTCAGTCCCTGATTAGTAGTGTGGCATTTAATCTTTGCTGTAACCCTTAGTGTGTTCATAGCCTCATTTCTACCTATCAGGGAAGTAAATCACTCAATCCTTTCTCTGAATTTTTAAAATTCAGGACTCACCCACTTGCCTTCTTCCTCTGGTGATTTACCCCAAGGTGCTACCTTGGGAAAGATCCTTGAGAAAACACCTTATATTAATTCTTTCCAACATGTCATTGATTTAAAAACTAACAAACTCAGAAAAAGCAGGTGTTAACAGATATCAGCTCAGGAGGCAGAGGCAAATACCAGATTGAGTATGAGATTGCTCGTCTGAAAAAGGTTGCCGTGCTGAAGAGGTTAAGAATGAATCAAGGAATGCATAAGCAAGCGTGAGTTGAAGATTAGCCTAATACAAACTTATCTTTCAAACAGGTAACGCAAAAGGCTGGATGGTGCCTGGAGATGTTTGTTCGGGAAGGAGGAAGGTAAGCATGCGTGTGAGCTGGGAGGATTACAGAGATGGCAGAGCTAACTGACAGACATTGCCCAGGGGAGGCCTTCATTTTACAAAACAGAATCTTCAGAGACAGGGTGACTCGTGCCATGATAAGGCCTTATGTTCCAGAATTTTGGTAAGGTAGACCTTACCCAAACATGAGTTTGTAATAAAATATTCAATTTTTCTAAAAAAACGAGGCAGTCCCCTACATGAGACTGTGTTCATTCATCCTTGAATTCAGAGTGTTCTGCACATAGCAAATCAATGTGTGAATTGTGACACAATGAAGACTCCTAAAATAAAATAACTTAATTTTTTTAAAAGACACTTATACTTACTACAGACTGAAAATATTCTGGAGAGATGCCTTCCAATTCAAGGATTTTATCCTCAAGTTTTTTAATTCTTTGATAAATGTCCCTTGGCACCGGACCACCTAAGTAACATTAAAAAGAAAATCTGAGTTACCATGGAATATTTTCTCACAGCTTTTATTCCTAAAACACAATACAAAGACACCTTACATACACACACCCAAAAGGGGGGGGGGGGATTTAAACAAGAAAATGAACACAATTAAAATAGAAGGAAATCTGTCATCCACATTTTCATATTATGCCCTATGGGACGGATTCCTACCTCCCCAAAACCCCTTTTGGATGTTGTATATTGACAGGAGTTTAGTGTTACACCATTTCACAAGCTATTGTAATGGGTGCTATAAACACTCGGAACTCCGACAGCGTGAACAGTTGCAGTGACAACACGCCAATTCAGCGGCTGCTAGATGTCATTCTTGTTCTCAACTGATACTTCTCCTGCAACCTAAAAAAAAAAAGGGGGGTGTGCTTTTACCATAATTCTGGACTGAAAAAGCTGAGGAGAGGGAGATGGCACATTAAGACCCCTCAAATGTCAAGTGTACATCTACGATTTCTCCTCCGCTGTGACCATTCTGCTCCAGCCTTGACTACCACAGCCAGGTTCCCCGACTTCTGCCTTTCCCCAGCCTATTCTCAGCATAGCAAACAGTGATCCTTTCAAATGTAAGTCACATCACATCCTTGTTCTGTTCAAAATCTTTTCAGGACCATCCCCCCATCACACTCACATTAAAAAAACAAAGCTCTTACATTGTCCTACTCAATCTGGACATTCTCTTCACACTTCAATCACTCCAACCATTCTATTTTTTTTTTTTTTTAGGGTCATTCAACAACAAAAAAATCTGAGTAACTTATCTCTTTGACTTTTTTCTTACTGCTCTTTTTACCTAGGATGCCCCCTGCCTCATCTCTGTGCCCTTTGAGAGCAAGTTCCAGCTTCACCAGGCATGGAAGCATTACTCAGTCACCTTCACATGGATGCTCTTTTGGGCTTGTATGTAGTGGTCCTCCACAGGCCCTTTTAACCTCCCACATCCTATTATCTCTCCCCTGCTTAGGAGGCCTTGTGATGTAGTGGTTACTCATTGGGTTGGGATCTGCAAGGTCAGCAGTTCCAAACCACCAATTGCTTCACAGAAGAAATACAGGGTTTCTATGCCCATTAAGAGTTACCATCTCAGAAACTCAGCAGGGCAGTTCTACCCTCTTCGATAGGGTTGCTATGAGTTGACATCGGCTTGATAGCAGTGAGTTTGGCTTTAACATCTAATAGCTAATAGGACCATTATCTGTGGAATGCCTACTATGTGCTAAGCACTATTTTAGGCACGAGGGATACTACGCGGATGTAGTGACAGTCCCTTTATTCAAGCAATTTATAATAATTTAGTGTGGAGAGGAGAAACAACAATACTCACAGCCATCGAGTCAATTCTGACTCACATCAATCCTATATAGGGTTTTGGACACTGTACATCTTTACCGCAGCAGCCAGCCTCATCTTTCTTCTGCAGGATGGCTGGTGGGCTTGGTTTGAAGTGCCAACCTTGAGTTTAGCCCAATGCCTAACCCCAAATGCCACCAAGACTCATAAGCAGGGAGAAAACCGAAACCCAAACGTCTGCCGTTAGTGGTTAGTGTGGGTCACTCTGAGTTGGAATAGACTAACTTCACGCTATTTAAGTCCCCTCAACTCTATCTCCTCTCCCACCTCTTGGTCAAGTTGCTTTTACCCACAGCCCTTTTCCTGCAGGAACTATATAATTTCTCTACTATTTGTGCCACCTGTTTCCCCCAACTTGAACTTTTGTTCAAATGCATTCTCAGGTCCAGAGCAGTGCCTGGTGGATAGTATAAGCTTAATATCTACTTGTGGGGAAAACGAATAGATACTAAGTTTGGGATGCATTTAAGGGCAACCAGAAATGATTAAAGACTTTTTGTCTGGAGAATAACAAGACCAGATTGAGTTTTAAGAAAATCACTTGGGCTACTCAATAGATAATGGTTTTGAAGTGGGCGTCTCGTATGGAAAAGTTCAGTTAATATCTTCCCATCAGTGTAAGGGAGAGGCCATAGAGGCTTCAACTAGAGCAGGTAGAAAGACGTGGAAGTTTCTACAAATCTGGCTAGACCAGAACATATGCACTAGTACAGATAAGAGCTTGCGACACAGGGAATCCAGGACAGATAAACCCCTCAGGACCAATAAGGGGAGCACGGATAGTAGGAGGGGAAGGGAAGGGGGGAAAAGGGGGACAGCAGTCGGTGTAAGACATGAAAAAAAGAGATAAATTTATAAATTACCAAGGGGGTATGGGAGAGGGAGGGGAAAAAATGAGGAGCTGCTAATGTTCATTGCAGCACAGTTCACAATTGAAAGGAGTTGGAAGCAACCCAAATTTCCATCAACTGATGATTGGATTAAAAAGCTGTGGTATATACATACAATGGAGTACTACGCATTGCTGCATGGAAGAGCTGGAGGAAATCATGCCAAGCGAAGTAAGTCAGGCACAAAAGGACAAGTACAACATGAGTCCACTGAGGTAAGCGTTAAAAAAAAATGCACAGGGGGCAAAGGGAAAAAGCTACTGTATACAAACATTCTTGGGGTGAGGACCGGGTAGTATGGCAGGGACGCACATGGTAGACAACTAGGGAGGAGGTGGGGAAAGGAAAAAAAGAAATAAGAAATGGGTAGCTGGGGCACTAACCCACCCAAGGGGGGGGGGGGTATTATTTATATCTCCACAGGGAAGGAGGGACCAGACTTCAACCCAGAGCCCCAAGGTCTGAATGCAACATTCAGGTGTGGAGTAGGGAGAGTGGTCTGGGGGGTTGGCCCCAGTACCAAATACTAAGTGGATGCTTGCCCCTCCCCCCAGAAGAATTTATGTCAAAGGACAGCACTGAATCTGCAGCTCCAGGAGAAGGACAAATCTGTTCAGAGCACACGGGAGCAGATGAAGGGGAAGGTGGAGAGACTGAAGCACATCCTGGCCCACCAGGCTTTGAGGAGATGACCCCAATTAGAGCAGCCAGTCCACACGG